TCCGTCGGCATGCATGTCATATTTGAGTTTGTTGCGATAACAAACGATTGACCTCTTCAGTGATTCCGTATCTCGTTGTGGCTACGGTAATTTGAATAATTGTCACGTTTAATGGCTTAGAAGATCGTGTGACTTAATCCAAACCTCAATGATATTACTGGCTCAGTGATGCGAAAACAAGAGTAGAAATTTCACTTAACAAGTCGGAACACTACTTTTCGGTTCTAGTTGTGAATTATACGTAATTTTCTCACGCTGAACAGAAATTCTCAGCATTTTTTATAGTCGGTCCACCCCAGTTAAATTGAGCGTTTCTGTTGTTTTATCATTTTGATCAGAAGTTAGCAGAGATTAATTGCAAAGTAGCCCAAGTTTATTTTGTCTGACCGGTGGAAATGATATTTCAGATCGATTTTAGGCAAAATTCTTTACTACGGGAAAGGTGATATTCTTCATCGCAAGCAGATCAGCATCAATGAGATTCCGGATTTTATATTGTTCAACAATACGTCTATGATCAGCCATTAAAACCTTGAGAAATGTTTTGAACACATTCCTATTCTCTTTTAGGCCGGTTTATCACATCAAACCAGGTGTCGGTCTTTTGAGTTTTCTCTGATAGTTTTCTCAGACCAGTGATCGGCATTATTTCGTTTATGACAATAACGTACTTTCAGAATGCATTGTAAACAGCACTGATAGAGACTATCAAGACGAACGCCATGATGATTCCAGGCTGTATTTGATCACCGAGAATGCGATTGCTTTCAGAATGATCTTCTCATTGGTTATAATCGTTTGTTCTACTACATCATGCAGTTTCTCGAAACTCACTGATGCCATTCCTATGCACCGGTTCACTTCAAATACATTGTTGCCATCATTTATCCAGAGTTCTGAAATACGTGAAGTAGTCTTCCTCTTCTGTCACAATACCATTCCTAAATATCTTTGGGCTAACGGCTGCGGCAAAAACTCTCATAATCTTCTTCTTCCCGACGTTGATCGGTTGCCCAGTCTCACAACGGTGTTGTGTTTCACTCGCTTTCAGAAATTGTCAGTAGACCATTTGCGGAATCGTTCAGCAACTGGAGCACCAAATGTCTGTTAGAAATGCAGTGGGTTTCATGAGCATCGTCGCTGACTGACGATAGTTCGTCATAGTGATTTTGGCATTCCTTTCGCATCACAGCGGTATGTGGTATGTTCTTCGCCTTGACCAATTCCACCGGTAATGTAGAGCTCAGACGGCATATTCTGTCCCTTCTTACACACCATCTATCAGGTTTATCCCCATCTGTGGAATTTCATAGTGTCGAATGATCTGACACATTTTCTAGAAATTAACTGAATCGAAAGTTGCTTGAAAGTTCAGAAACGTTTCACCTTATGACTGTTTATAGCTCCAGCATTGTTAGATGATTCGTTTCAACACGAAGTTTTTGTCCTGATGTTGAAAGGAAGCGTCTTGATTTTCTCACATCGAATCATCTATTAAGCCTCCATTAACCTTCTGGAAATGTTCCGAGCGAACGGCATCTCTAAAACAGGTAGGGAGGCGATTCATCTTTTGTTTGTGAATTTGGCGTGCTTATAATTTACTATCTCGACAAACTAACACTGTGAACCTTTCAGTATGGGGTTCGATTATGGATCACTGCTGTCATAAACTAAAAATTGCTTAATGATACGTCTGTCATATTTGCTAATGGACAACTTTAGATGCACATGCAGTTACATCCGCTGATACCTCGTCACTTCTAAAACTCAGCTTACTTAATCAGTTTCAAAGTTGTCACAATCTTCTTAGTTCATTTATTCGTTACTTTCGTCGTTCCCGTTCCCTTCCACTTTTCATCGACAGTGTCTTTAGGTCACCCTTATAATGTGTCGGATTTACGCCTATTGGGCAAGCTTCACAGACTGGATGTCGCGACGCGATAACGATGGATGTTCGTAATCTGCTATCTATCTGGCCCTGGCATTATCCTTCGGTTATCGAAGACGTAGCTTTTCCAAAAGAGTTCATCGTTCAAGCCGTCCTCTGGCATCTTGACCACATGTTTACACGTTGTTGTTGTGTCTCTTGATTTGACAAAGCAACGGTTGAACTTTAGCTGTAAATGATGGGCTGATCGACAGTTTTCTTAAACGTGATCAACAGTTTTTCGCGGAGTTATTTTTCCGAGAAAGTGTTAAGCATGTCAGTGTTATACCTGCTTGCTCAGTCGGTTAGACAATTTCACTGAATTTCGACCGCTCTACCGCTGCTTCTGGCTGAATCAGCGGTAGAGAGAGTTGAGTAATGACGTGGAAATAGTACGCAAACCATGCTATAGTTTATGAAAAATTGCTTCCACACATGCAGATGTTTTGAGCCCATACAAGAATCAAATGACAACGTGCGTAGGACTCTGTTGGTGAGGGCGTTTACCTGAAATTCTGAACTGAACAGGTCGCCGGCAGTGAGATTTTAGTATTTCACTGGCGTTGCACTGCTGAATGAGATAGCGCTTAACTGCACAACTGCTGAGCAGTTTGTGTACAAATCGGCTAAAGACATTGGATATAAACCAAAGCAGTGACAATTTTCATTAGCTTAATTTTATACAATACATGAAGGACAGAAGAAAGATTTATGTCCATGAAGAGTTCATGATGAAACCTTCAGCGCGCCATTTGTTGTTTGGCTTATCATAATGAAACGTTGGCATCGCCGATTCAAAGAGCGCGTAACGATCTAACTACCAGATCGCACGGCGAGAAAAATGTGGTTGGATATTTACTTCTGAGCCGTTACGGTAGCCACAACGGCGTTTTATAAACCATGAAATGGCTGGGTATCTGGGACCGACGGAACCATATATGTATGTAAGGGAATCTTTCTGGGAGAGGGGCAGTCTTGCTAAAATTTCGAAGAAAAGTATCAGAAGAATATCGTCCCTATTAGTTTCCAAACAATGTATGATGACATCATATGATCTGTAGCTTACTTTCTGAACAGTGAATAACGACTGATAGACAGGAGGAACAAATCATGCTCATAATACTTCATTGATGATACCCGGAAACGGAAAGAAAATCCCATGCTTCTCACCAATAGATGCTCCAAACAGGAATAGACAAGAAAGTCGAAAGATGGTTGTGAGCCTTGTTCATAATTTGACTGTATTTCGGTAATAATGTCCTCAAATGTTTTATATTCATGCCTCTGACCAATGGATGAAATTTATTATCGTTTTGCCTCCTCTGAGCATAAAATAGCCATTGTGAATAAATGATATAATCCTTGGAATTGTCACTTGAGCGGTCGCAAGTACGATGGCTTGGACAAGTTCCGCGAACACCACTTGAACGGATTACCAAGCAGATATCTTTTGCTCAGTCGACAAGCAACGAATCCTGTGGAAGGCAAAGAAAACTTGTGGCAAACGCATCAGAGCAATTTCCTTCAAACTCGGGGTGTTTCCTTGATGTACGGATACATGAACGATCCGTGCCAATTTGTTAATCACTGCTATCTTCGTGATCCAAAGGGGCAATCGACATGGAAATCTAACCGACCTTGAAATCGATTTACATTCTGCTCATACTAAAAATCATCTACAATCGTATTGTAGCGCTTTATGATGCTCAGTGGAACCTGTCTGATTCTAACACGGCAGACTTAATTATTTGCATGCTTGCCGAGTAAAGCATCGTAAAAGTGCGTCCATCGTTGAAGTAATGGTCGTCATGTTTGAAACAGGCGAATCACAATTAATGACAGAACGGCGAAAAAGTGGAATGCACGAGAAATTAATTTTAGCGAATGATTGAGTACTAATTCAATTGTTACCCAGAACAATCCGTATTTATTAGGCATCTTATGCATAATTATGTGCAATAGTTGCCATGTTGCTTGTCACACAATGACAGACCAGTTTCCCTGTTGCACAGGAAAGAACGTGTCAAATTAATGAGCGCCAGACAACGGTATTCGACTATCGTCGCCATTCGACGTGCAATTTGTATTATTAATACTTTATCCATTATTTTTCCAGCTGACGCAGCAGTCGCCTGCGATACGATATTGATATCGGCCATAAAAATATATATTGCTATTTGCGAGCAGAGCATCGTCAGATTTAAAGAAAACAGATGGACACAGCTAAAGTTCTAGCAACACATCTTCGCAAATTAAAGGCAGCGGCAAGTGCCGTTTACAAGGATGGTTTAGTTGCTACTTCAGTCACTTGCCCTGTGTCTGTCCGCTGTGTAACCGATTGCAAAATCT